ACACTCACACACACACACACACTCATACTCACACACACACACTCATACTCACACACACACATACACACTCACACATACACACACACTCATACACTCACACACACACACTCACACACACACATACACACTCACACATCACACACACACACAACGCAATACATGAGGCCGAGTCTGCCTTTGTCTAGAAGGCTGCCTTGACCTTGCCAACCCTCAGACAGAAACTGTGACCAGTGCAACTGCCAGATCCTGAGCCCGCTAACTGCTCTCCCTCCCCACCACACCCTCACACAGACTGCCAACTCCCCACGGTTCCCTCGGTGCCTGGCTGCCCCCTGGTGGCTGCTGAACTGGATACAGCCAGTCGCTTGTGACAGAAGATTAAAGAACATGAAAGAAATAAAAGTTAAATGTTAAACAGGCCAGCATAATGGTGCTTGGGGGGCAGAGGCAGGCGATCTCTGTGAGCTCGAGGCCAGCCTGATCTACTGTGAGTTCCAGGCAAGCCAGGACTAACACAGGGAGACCTTGTCTCAAAAATAAAAAAAAAAAAAAGTACACACACACACACACACACACACACATCACCAGGGTGTCCCTAGAGCTATTTCAACACACTGTGTAAACTCATTATTCAACAAAATTGGGGTCACTCTTGCGTGCTCACTCCAACAATCTACACACAGCAGTAGCACCCTTCTGCCGAGGTCAGGGGCCACAGACAGCAGAGTCTGTCCTTCCCCAGTAACGGCTGACCCGCAGGACACGGCTCCGTGGTTGGTCTCGCCACAGGCGGTGGCACCAGGTTTTCCGGGCCTGGGTTGTCTGTGGCAACCGGGGTCAGCTGTGTCACGGCCGGACATGGTGCTCAGCCTCACCTCAGAGCATGCTCATAGCTGCACAGGGTTTCCAGCTTCTACCAAACAGAATACTCTGTTAAAGTCGTGAGCCGTGGGGGCAGGGGAGGCGGCTCAGGGAGGAAGTTGTCTGCCACACAGGTGAGTTCACATCCACAGCCTCCCGAAAGTGAAACACGGTCACACGTATCTGCGACCCTAAACTAGAGGCACAAAGGCAGCTTGAGGGCAAACCCCCAGCCGCGGGCTGGTGAGAGGGCCTGTCTGCAAAGACAAGGTGGAGGCCGAGCGGGAAACACGCGACCTCTACCTGTGGCCCCACACCCACACGTGCGCCTACCTGTGCAAACACACACACCACACAGAAATAAAACCGTGGGGAAAGCTGGAAGCAGGAAGTGAGACAAACATGAGAGCGCTGTTTCCACGCCCCTGCACCTCGTACACGGCGGGAAGCAGAGCAGCGGGATGAAGGTGTCTGTCCTGAGCGCCACCGTGGCGCGGTCCTGCACGCCCAGCAGGCAGGGGCAGGCACAGGCCCCGGAGGAGCAGCCACAGGTGGTGGTGGTGGGCCCGTCACCCCGGGTGAACGGCAGGCCCTGCAGGTGTCCTCTGCACAGACCCCGGGATCCCGCAGGGGGAGTGTCCGTCACCAGCGACACCGAGAGCCTGGCACACCCTGACCCAGCTTCCCCGGTCATGCCACGAGCAGCCCTCAGCCTCAGGCTCCGGTGGCATCTCCAAGGGGAACTGAGGGTGCGAGGGGACCCTGCTATGACCCTCAGCTCACTGACGGCCAGGGTGGATTCGGCTTCCCAGCTGGCATGGTGGGCGGCCCCTTCCTCCCTCATGGCTCTGTGTGTCAGAGCTGCTGTTGCCGTCACTCTGAGCCTTCCCAGATGGTTGAGCACACACAGCAACACAATGGTGGACTGACTGCGTGGCTCAGAGTCCCTGGGTAACCGCGAAAACCTTTCCTTTTCCCCCTTTCCAGTTCTTTGAGACAGGGCCTCACGCTAGGACCTCGCTGGCCTGGAACTCCGCACAGACCGGGTCTGCCCTCCTGGGATGAAGGCATGTACCACCACCACACCCACCGAAAGCCTTTCTAAGTAACCCAGTGCTCGCCCAGCGAGTGTGCCCGCGGTGAGACCCCGGCATTAGGAAAGGCAGGAGGGACACCCACCCCAGAAAATGTCCTCACACTGGGCTCAGCCGACAGGGAGCAGCTGTCCTGGGGTAAGGGGGATATTCAAGTCAGTGTGAAAGCCCACAGGAGACAGACTTAAACAAGAGCTGCGCCTTAAATCGGCCCGCGGCCTCTGTGGCCTCCACTGAGAGCCTGAAATGTGACTTAGAGCCCAAGGCCGGAGGGTCCTTGTCCATGTCTTACAACTGCCACAATCCCTCAAGTTAAAGGTAAGCGAAGGCCACTGAAAGCCGTGCACTAAGTCACACAATCAAAAGCGGTCTTTTCTGCCATGCACAACGTATCAGCAATGAAAGAAGTCACCTCAATAACGGGCACATTCTCCTGAAGGTCTGCTGTGTGCAAGGCCAGCACGCCGACCACCCGAGCCACCTTGGACCGTCTGGAGAGAGAGAGAGAACACAGCCCTGAAGCGCAGTCCAGTGGCAACATCACCACACCAGCCACCATCGTGAGGGCCCGAGTCGAGTGTGAGACGGTGAAGAGGGGCAGGGAGCAGGGCCCGGCTGTCCTGGGACCTCCCAAGTGCACTGGAGCACGCCCACGCCCACGCCCACTCACACACACACACACACACACACACACACATGCAGTGACAGAGCAGGCCCACAGGCAGGGAAAGCCCCTCACTGCAGGGGAAACCTGAGTCAGTGTCTCGGTTTAGACAGTTTCTGCTTTAAAACCCGGGGAACAGGAAACCTTACAGTTAGCAGCCTTGCCAATCTTTTTCTATTTGGCTTAATTTTGCTTTACTTTATCTGTATTTGTGTTTTGCGGGTGTGTAGGCACGTGCACGCAGTGCCTGTGGAGGCCAGAGGAGGGCGGCTGTGCCCCTGGTGGCTGACGGTTCGATCCCCTAGCTGGCTGGGTGCTTGTGACTGCTGGGCCGGCTCTCCAGCCTCGGTTCTTCTGTTTCACGGGTTTTAGTGAGGTGGCTTTCCGGCATCCCACAGAAAAGGTGCTGATGAGCTATAAGCAATGCCTCAGAGTGATCTGAGTAACAGAGAAGTCGCTGATAATATTGCACAGGGAATAAAAAGCCATGGAAGCAGATAGGACATGAGAAACGGGCCTGGTGGGACGGGGGTGCACAGCTATGAAATTATGAGATAATAAAACTTTAAAACCCTTTTCCTTCTGAAAACTGAGGTGGTGAATTGCGGAGGCCCACAGGCTCATGTTTTGTAGTTTCTTTACAGGAATCTCGGAAACGTGGCCGGGCAACATGCAGCCACCTCCCAGAGCAGAGCCAGCCCTGACAGGCTCGGCTCCTTGCCGGTTCTCTGAGAGGAGGGCCTCACCTAGGGCTCCCAGGCTAGCCCTGAGCTCCTGACTCTGCTGCCTCAGCTTCCTTCCTAAGGACTGCCATGAACGCTGCCATGACTAGATACGTTTGCATGTCTTACACATCAAATAAGAAATGTCAACCACAATCAAGCAAGCCACACACAAAGACAGACAGGAAGTCCCCTCCCCTTGACGAGTGCTGACTAAACACAGGGCCCTCGGGAGTCTACTGCAATGAAAGACTCCTTTACCTGCTGAGAACCACAAACCAAAAGAAAGGCTGGAAGTGGAACCCAGAGAGACAACACCTCCTGAGAGCCATGGAAGAGGAGGCCTTCAGGAAGACATGAGATGTCGCCACAAGCGCTCTGTACTGGGGGGCGGGGGGCATGGGCACAGGTGGGCAGTCTGTGGTGTCCCAGACTGGAGCCGGGAAGGGGCTCATGGTGGTCCGGACGAGAAGGTTCCCACAGGCCATGTTTGAATATTCTGTCCCTAGTTGCTGGAACTGTCTGGGAAGGACTGGGAGGTGTGGCCTTAGTGGAGAATGTGTGCCATGGGGTGGTTTCAAAACCCAGGTCAGGCCCAGCTCTCAGGCCATCTTGCTGCATGCCTGCCTAAGGCCATGCTCCCTGCCATGAGGGCACACTCGAACCCTGTGAACATGGAGGCCCCAAATGAGCTCTCTCCTGTAAGTTGCCCTGGTCACCAGGTGGTGGCGGCACACGCCTTTAATCTCAGCACTCGAGGCAGAGGCAGGGGGATCTCTGTGAGTCTGAGGCCAGCCTGGTCTACAAGGTGAGGCCAGGACAGCCAGGGCTACGCAGAGAAACCCTGTCTTGAAAAACAAAAACAAAAGTAATAAACAAAACAGTTTAAAATAAATAAATAAATGCAGTAAGAGAAGAAAAAAGTTGCCTTGGTCACGCTGTCTTAGCACACAACAGAAAAGCAACTAAGACTGGAGCAAAGGCGAGACGCCAGCCTCAGAGGAAAACCCAGCCAAGCCACTCAAAGCTCAAATCCCAGCACCCACATAAAAGCCAGATGTGGTGATGTGCACGGCTGTAATCCTAGTACTGTGGGGGCAGAGACAGGAGGTGGGAGACGGCCTCAATAATATTAAAAACACCTTTGTTATGGGCAAACAGACACATAAAATCATGGCAGGCCTTATTAAGTCTGTGCTCCCACATGGATAACAAAGTTGGAAAACTAAGATTAAAGCTGTCAAATCTGAAAGTAGCATTTGAAAGCAAACGAAGAGGCCAGCCGAGAGTGGCCCACTGTCCACCCACGGCCTTACCTAGAGTGTCCATGCTAGGCAAGGTTCCAGCACTCAGGAAGGCAAAAGGCATGAGGCCAGCCTGGGCAGCTCAGGAAGACACAGCCTCAAAAAAAAATTCTTGGTTTTGTTTGTTTTTATCATATGTAGACCAGGCTGGCCTCGAACTCATAGAGATCTACCTGTCTCTGCCTCCCCCGGTGCCACATGTCCAACTAAAAAAACAAAATTTTAACCACTAAAAAAACCTTTTTCTGGTGAAAGAAGTTTAATTTAAATAGTAAAAATGGTTTTTAAACAGTGCTTGAAAGGAATAAAACCGAAGCTCCTGGCACTACCCACAGCTTGCTGGGCTGTGGCTGGCACACTCCCCAGAGAGAGGTGGCGAAACAGTGACATCGCCACGGGCATGGATGGTGCTCTCTTCACCAGGTGCTGCAGCTGCTTTGACCACAAAAGCGAGTGACCCCACCTTCAAGAACGAGGAGTGAAGCAAGCGCTCAGGAGAGAGCTGGGCTCTCCAGCCTCCTGACTGGAAAGACGCTGAAGCCGGCCAGAAAGTCTTCCCTGCAGAGATGCAGTGTGGGGCTGCCGTGGTTATGGCAGGGGTGGAATGCACCTGATAGGCGCGGTGGCTGCATGTGGACAGACGTGAAGGCCCCGTGTGGACAGGCGCCGCAACCAACTTCCCCGCCACCAGGAGCTTCTGACCAGCTTCCAAGCATTAGCCAGAGACCTCTCAGTGCTCAGAGCTCGGCTGAGGATGATCAATAACCTCCCAGGAGAAATAGCCCGGCAGTGAGCTGGAGCTGACTGTCTGTGCCACACTGCAGTCTCCCAAAGCACACGTGGCCTCTAGAGGACCCCTTGCCTGTTCCCCTCATTTTTTCCAGTGAAAAGGATTCTGATAGAGCTTTTCACTTTATAAATACACTTGAGTTACCAAAATACCGCAGATTTTGTTTGTCCTTACTGCAGTTCAAATGCAAATACGGTAGAGTATTACTTAGGTAGACACTCCCAGTGATCAGTTTAAAAGATTGGAAAAAAATACAAAGGACTGTTGAATAATGGACGTTTTTAAAGGCTCATATTTTTACTGTAAGTCATAAAAGTGGAAAGCTTGCAGACAAAAAAAGAAAAGAAATAGAAGCGCTGAGTCAGCAGAGGGCGCTGCAGACCAGGAACCAACATCCAGCAAGCAGCAGAGGTCTCCATGGTTGTGAAAACTCAGCTGTCACCCTGCAGCCTGGCTCCCTAGATCAGGGAGAACAACACTGAGATACGAGCAAAACTTCTCTCCAAAGCCTTTTTGCACAGTCAGCAGCACGGAGGAGAAACTACGGTCACACCTCTGCCAGCCACTGCAAGGTGACAGACAGCGATCAGATCACAGCACTCCCCACTGTGAGGCACACTCACACCAGCCGCCCCCCCGTCCCGTCTCTGCCTCGGAGCAGGTGAGGACACCCCCACTGTTTGACACACTCACACCAGCCCCTCTGTCTCTACCACGGAGCAGATGAGGGTGCCCCACTCTACAGATAAGAACACTGAGGCTCGGCAGGGAATACGATTTGCCCAGTCGGGGTCCCAGTCCACTCTGCACCCACACATGCCCCGAAAGAGAAGGCTCAGGAAACGGTTCCCTATGTGATCAGGTCCCGCCATGGGGAAGAGCCCAGAGCATCCACACAAGAGCATCTGTTTCCATGACAATAGGACAGTCCCATTTCTATGACCCCACGGGGTGATCCTGCTACAGCAGGAAGACAGGACTGATGTAAGCAGCAAACACAAAAGGCAGGGCAATCTCATGATTGACACTTCCGGGCCAGGGAGCCAGGCAGTGGTGAGTTGCGTGGACCTCCAGGTCACCCGGTGACTTAGGGACAGTGCTCATGATGAGGTGTGCAGCAATAAGTATAAAACCACAAAGAAATTGCTGTAAATGACGCGTGTTACTTACATGTCCCAGTTAGGAGCTATTCGCAAGTGCTGGATAAGCAGCTGGAACTGGGATTTAAAAAGAACACATCGAAAGGTGAGCTTTACTCAGAGCCGTGCGGCACACTCACACCAGCCCCTCTGTCTCTGTCTCGGAGAGGCACCCAAAGCGGAGTCTGAATTAGCAGAGAAATTCACCCCAGGAGGTGAGACTCCCTCCCAGAGGTAATTACTGACAGAGGCAAACTCAGCCAGTGTGCTAACACGGTAATGTAAACAAAGTTCAGAACAGGGCACGGAGAGTTAAGAGCAAGTGCTCCTACTGCCTCGGGCCCAGGCTCAGTCCCAGCACCCAGGCTCACCAACCCTGTAACTTCAGCTCCAAGGGATCCGACACTCTGCCCTCCAAGAGCACCTGGTGCACAGGCGCACGCAGACACACACTAACACACACACACAATTAAAATAAAATCAATCTTAGAAGAAATAAGAACACGATCTAAGATTTGTCCACTGCTCTCTGACATTTTACTCCGCCTCCCCACAGATACCCCAACAACCTCTACACCGACTCAGGAGAAAATGAACTGAAGCTCCCTCAGGACGATGGGCTCAGGCTGGTGGAGGGCTCAGCCAAATGCCCGGCGGTTACCAGGGAGGGCCACCAACGAGTGAGTGATTCTCCCAGAACAGGAAGTGGGACTGTAAGGCCCTATGTCCTTTAGCCCCAGACACCTTGGCCCGAGTCCAGCTACCCAGGACAGGCGCCCAGGCCACCTGAGTCCACGGCAGCACGAGGTCCGCCTCCTGGTCACAGACAGTGGCACAGTGGCGGTGGCTGCCATTAACACTTAACAGAAATGGCAAACGGAGCATCCAAAGGCCATGGCTGGAACACACCTACGCAACTGCTGTAAGGCAGGAGAGGAGGGAATTTTCATGAACTTTCGTAAGGATAATTTTCATGAAAAAAAAATCACTTTTTTCTTTGTAACCAAATCAAATTACAAGTGTACCCAACTGGACCTGGTGGCACAGGCCTATAAGCTCTGCAACTTGGGAAGGTGAGGCAGAAGGATCACAGGAGAACCTGACTAAGCTAGAGAAGGAGGTCAGCACAGGCGTGGGGACTTAGCTCAGATAGAAACTCTCAGGCTCCAGCTGTGGCCCAGTGGCACAGCACCTGCCTAGCCTGTGTGAGGCCCTGAGACCCCAGCTCCTTACAAAACAGTTCCAGGCTTTGGCTTATTGTTTCATTGTTTCGGTGCTGGCCGCTGAACTCTGTGGGGCACTCTGTGGGGCATGTTAAGGAACCCCTCCACAAGTGAGCCGACCCCCGGGCCTTGTTTAAGTGTCTTTGAAATATGGAGACCAACTGCAGGGGGAGTGGCCCGGGAGGTGTGCCCAACACCTACCAGCGGGGAATGCAGCAGCCTGGTGGCCAGCTCCCTGTGCGTGGCCACCACGCACAGATAGCACAGGAGGTTGAGCTTGGCCCTCGACGCCCCGGTGCTCTTCTCGCTGGAGTCAATCTGGGAGCAGACCTGCTGCAGGAAATCGTTCCAGTCCTGGTCCTTCAGAACCAACAGCTTGTCCACTGGAGGGGGGGTGGGGGGAGTGAGCGGGTGTGACTCGGAAAAGCTGAGCAGATGCTGTGTGAACAGAACACAGCTCAGCTGGGATGAGGAACCCTCGTGAAGGCGTCAACAGAGACGGTGGCAAGCCTGCCGCTCTGAGGGGCACTCGAGGGCAGTGCCCTACCGTGGGGGACTGAGCTAAGGCAGTGATGATGATAACGGTCCCTCCATGCCCCAGAGCAGGACAAGCTTGCCTCCAGGCATGGAGACATGCTGGATGCCCAGAGTCCACATACAAACACCTCGGGAGGCATGCCATTCTGGCCTAACTGCTGAGCTCCAGATCAACGAAGACGGTAACACTGGGGGCCAGCCCCGTACTCACGTGTACCTGCACTCACACACTCACACACACACACACACACACACACACACACACACACACACATGTCCATACCCGTCTCCACACACTTTTACAAGTCTGATAATGTCAAACATACCCAGGTCGGTAGGGTGGCTGGCCAAACCTGGTTCTCCAGGCAAAACAAATGCCAGAAATGGCATAGAAATGTACAGGTTTCGGCTTATCTCTATCTACAGACAGACTCCTTTACAGAATTTACAAATGTTCTCTGGCTCTCGAGGGAAGGACTGAGTGACTCTGGGTTTTCACACGTAAAGGCTGTTGGTGCAGCCACACAGCGGTTCTGCTGTATTCCGGTCCCTGGGGAGCATCCCTCCCTGGGCTCCGCTCTTGCTCTGATCAGGACGAGCTTGGCCTGCACAAACCTTTAAGACCTGCGTCTGTTTTGTTACTGTGAACTTAGTTCCAACCACAAGGCGCCTTAGCCACAGCAGAGAACTGGCCCACCAAAAAAGATCAACCCGTGGTACACCTAACTTCCTGACGGTCACGCCAGGTAGGACTTCACCGGCTGCAGGGAGAGAACCAGCAGCCTTTAGCTATCTGTACTCAGACACCAACCCCACGAAGTGAGCCGTGCTCCCTTCCCCCACCAAGAGCCATGTCCCTTTTCCCACGGGGTGAGCGACCCAACCCTGCTCTGCGCTGTCCTGGTCCTCGAACACAATGCCAAGTCCCCTGGCTGCCGCCACTCACAGCATCGCAGACATCCCCTGGCTTTACCAGGGAAGGGCACGGACCCTCCAGCCAGCCAGCAGCCCAGGAGCTTCCCCACCCGCAAAGGGCGTCAGCCCAGGAAAAGTCCACAGCTGGGCAAGCTGCATGTGCGGCCAGCCTCCGCTGTGCAGGTTCGACCGGAAAGTAGTGCCGAGGAAACGCTACTCAGTCCTCGCAGAAATAAGGCTCGTGTTCATATCCGTGTGCACGGCTGGAATGCTTGAGGGGCTGTGGCCTTACCAGAATATGCCGGCAGGTGCAAGATCTTTGGATCAAACTTGATTGCAGGTTGTTTCATTATCTGTGGCAGGAAAAACACTGTTGAGAAGCCTTCTCCCTGTGATAGCAATCTCTAACCAAACCCAGACGGACACGGCCAGAAAAGAAGGATCAGGCACCTGACCGTCAGCACAGGATACAGGCCGGGTGTGGGGCACACCCCAAGCCCAGCCCTGGGAGGTTCAGGCAGGAGGGCTAGGTTTGCCTGGGCTACAGAGCCAGACCCTGGAATCTCAGAGTACCAGCAAGGAAAAGAATTCAACAGTCGAGTGAGATTAAAAGACATGAATACAGATTCTTGAAGCAGGTGACTCTGTCAGACAGACATCTGACTGGAAAACAAGGCAAACACCTGTTAACAATAAAATCTTTACCATTTAACAATTCAAAAGAGGTGAGACAAACTTCTAGACAGATACTTCAGAGAAACACTGCTCAAAAATAATGAAGAAACAATTTGTTAGGCTGGGGCGGCCTGGGCAGGGTCAGCGGGAAGGGTGGAAGGTGGGTGCTCTGTTGGGAATAACTGGGGAGGGGAAGAGAGGGGGGCTGAGGTCTTGGGAATAGATGGGGGAAGGAGGAAGGCTGGAGTCTTGGGAATAGATGGGGAGGGAGGGGGACTGGGGTCTTGGAAATAGATGGGAGCGGGAAGGGGCTGGGGTCTTTGGAATACATGGAGGATAGGGTGCTGGGGTCTTGGGAATAGATGGGGAGGAGGGCTGGGGTCTTGGGAATAGATGGGGGAGAGGGGCTGGGGTCTTGG